GGGGGATGCTTAGTAAGGCTGGGACTAGGACTAGGAAGAGGACTTGAAGACGACAAGAAGAAGAGACTTAAGTAGAGGAAGAAGAGAGGAAGAAGAGAGGAAGAAGAGACTCACCGCAAGGTCGTTGGGCAGGAAGAGAAGAAGAGAAGAAAGACCAGAGAGAAAAGAAGATAATAGAAAGTAATAATAAAAGAGAAGAAGAGAAGAAGAGAAGGCGAGAAGAAGGCGAGGTTGGTTGGGCAGCGGTGAGGGCTTAGTCAGGGCTTAGTAAGGAGAGGAAGGAGAGATAACCTTGGAAGACAGCCTAAACCTAAGCCTGAGTCTAAGCCTGACCTGCTATCTCTTAGCCTGCGTTGTCACTATGTATACAGCTGTCATCGTCATCTCATCTCAACTTTTCGTCTTCTTTTCTTCTTCTCTTGTTATTTTCTTGTGTTTTTCTTGTGATTTTCTTTTTTTCTTTTTTTCTTTATTTTTCTTTTTTCTTTATTTTCACTCGTCACATCCACTAACCGCTTCAGGCTTAGCGGGTCCTTTTTTTAGGGACGTCAAAGTGGGGATAATTAGTAATATGTTATTAATACTACTGACTAATAAATGACTAAGTGAAGTCACATGATGCTACTCCCGTCGCTGCCAACTTCGAGGCTTCTTCAGCTTCATCTCTTCTCTTTCCGGCCTCTTTTTGCTGCTGCTGGCTCGATCTCGCTGTCCAGCAACTGCTCGTCTTCAGTCACTCTCAAGAGGCATCTCATCTTATTCTCTTCTCATCATTCTTCTTCTTCTTCTTCTTCTTCTTCTGCTGGTAACTAAATACCCTTTCTCCCTCTGCTCCTCTTTGTCTTCATCTCCAGTCATGTCTTCTGCTGCCTCTATCTTTGCCTCCTTGACTCTTCCTCTACTCTCTGCTTCCTCCTTCTCCTTCCTTCTGCCTCCTCCTCTAACGAGATGCTAGCTTCATGGACTACGAGTCCTTCTCTCCGCCAGCGCCCAAGGCGGAGCCCAGGTGGGCCGACGAGGATCCCTTCCACCACGACTTCCGCCGCTCTCGTACGTCTCTCTTCTACTTCTTCTTATTTGACGGCAATGCTAATGGTTTGTAGCTGACAGGAGGAGGAGACGCTCCAGGAGCCCGGCCGCCATAGACAGGTACCAGCCAGAGAGAGAGGTGCGCGACAGAGACAGAGACAGAGACCGGCGAGAGGACTACTACAGCCGCCGCCGTCACCCGTCCCCCGGCGCTGCAAACATAGACAGATACATCCCGGGCCAGCAAGATGGATCTTCTTCTTCTTCTTTAACGTCTTCTAAGCCTGTGCCGCGCTCAAATCCCATCCCCGCCCCCCTCACCCTCGACTACCAGGTCGGGTTCAACTACTTCGCCGAGTGGTGGCGCACTGAGAACGCCATCAAGGAAGAGAAAGAACGGGTCCGACATGGCCTCCCTCCTACCGCTACCAGACGGGTCAAGGGCGAGAGAGAGGCCAGGGAAGACAGAGACCGTGAACGGGCCCAGATACAGACCGCCTACGACGCCTACAAGGCGGACCTGCAGATGAAGCTCGCCAGGCAGTTTGTCCAGATGCACAGGGCCGAAGAGTGGTTCAGAGAGCGCTACGTGCCCGACATACGCGACCCGTTCAGACAGAGACTCGCCCAGTTCCGCGTCTCGGCATATGACCAGTGGTGTGCAGACCTTGCATCCGGCGTCTTTGACGAGTTCACCCTTGAAGGCATCTACAAGAGCGAAAGTGATGGAGCCGGAGGCATAGTCGAGAAGGAAGAAGGCGAAGCAACGGCCGTGGGTGAGACGCTGGGCGTGCTCGACCTGGTGCCTGCGCGCGGAGCAGATCTCAGAGACGACTCCATCCTCCAGCCGGCCTTGCTCATCAAGACCCTTGCGCCCAATGTCAGTCGCGAGAAGATAGAAGAGTTCTGCAGAGAGCATCTCGGTGAAGTCGACGGCGGGTTCAGGTGGCTCAGCTTGAGTGATCCCAACCCGTCAAAGAAGTACCATCGCATAGGCTGGATCATGCTACATCCCACAACCGCAGATGATACCGCTGCTGCTGCTGCTGCCGTTGTCGACCGGGGAGACGGGCGAGACGAAGAAGAGGAAGAAGAGGAAGGGGAGATGGATTCCGAAAGAGCAGACCAGAAGAATACCTCTGCTGCTTCACAGTCCCTCGCCGAACGAGCCCTGGAAGCCGTCAATGGCAAGACCATCACAGATCCCGTCAGAGGTGACTTTGTCTGCCATGTCGGTGTCCATGTCCCGCCCGCCAACCCGCGCAAGAAGGCCCTCTGGGACCTCTTCTCGGCCCCCGAGCGCATAGAGCGAGACCTCGACCTTGCTCGCAGGGTCGTAGCCAAGTTCGACGCTGCCATGGACGCCGCAGATGGCATGGCCAGGATAGAAGAGCGCGTAGAAGACCTGCGCGGCAAGGGCTGGCTCCAGCCTCCCGTCAGCGGACCAGTCAAAGTAAAACACAACAACAGCAGCAACAACAACCACAACAGCCATCTCGACCCTGAAGCAGACATGATCCTCCTCGACGACGGGGATACACCCGGCAAAATGGAGGAAGAGGGTGAAGACGCAGACCTCGATGACTCCGACGAGATAGACACAGAAGACCTGCTCGCAAAGAAGAAAACCCTCGACCTCACCGTCGAATACCTCCGCCGCGTCCACAACTTCTGTCTCTACTGCGTCTTCGAGTCCGATTCCGTCCACGAGCTCGTCCGCAAGTGTCCCGGCGGCCACCTGCGCCGGCCTCGCTCCGGCCTCTCCACCCACGCCAAATCAGCCGCCCGTGCAAGCGCGATAGGCGCCCCCTACCCGTCCAAAAAGGACTCCACCAACACAGTAGCCGCCGGAGCCGCCGCTCACAACAATAACAACGACGAAGAGGAAGAAGGTGAAGCACCCGCCTCGCCCGCAGAGGAGAAGAAACCGCCGCGCTTCTCGTCCAAGAGCGAACAGCAGATCTACCGCGCTTTCAACTGGGTGCGTACCTTTGAGGATAAGCTCATGCAGATCCTCGAGCCGGAGAATGTAGATCTCAAGAAGCTTGGAGGCAAACCCGTCGACGAAGCCGTCGAAGATGAACTCGCTCGCTTCGTCAAGCAGGAAGACGAATCCAAGTTCCGCTGCAAGGTACCCGAGTGCACCAAGCTCTTCAAGGCGCATAATTTCTGGCGCAAGCACGTCGAGAAGCGCCACGAGGAGTGGTTCGCCGAGATAAAGCACGAGGTTGGTCTACAATATCTTACACTTAATGTCTTGCCTGTTACTAACGAACGTCGTAGCTCTCTCTTGTAAACGCCTACGCCCTCGATCCAGCACACATCTCACCCACCCGCTCCGACGCAGCTAGCAATGGCCACTTCCCCTTCCCCCCAGGCCACATACCCGCCGGCACCCCGCGCGGATTCAACTACAACACCATGCCCTTCATCTCCAACGCAGCCTCCTTCAACGGCATGTCCGTCGCCAACCACGCTGCCGGCTCTAACCCCATGCTCAACATGCTCCCGCACGACAGCCTGCATCACCATCCGCACCATCCAGGCGTCATCCGGCGCGGCGCAGGCCGCTACGCTCACTCCCATCGCTCCGGACCCTACGATCGCCGAACAACCCGGCATCCCATGTCCGGTCCACCGGGAGCAGGCCGGTTGTCCCCTTCTCGCTCGATGTTCGGACGTGTCTCCATGCCGATTCCAGCAGGTCATCCGGCCACCGCGCTTATGGGTGCTGGTGCGCCAGGTGTGCCGGGCGGACGATGGGATGCAGCCGCGCAGCAGGCAATGGGGCCCAAGGAAGCCGTGCAGGGCCGCAGCTTGAAGAGTTACGAGGATCTCGATGCCGTCGGGGGTGCGGGAGGAGGAGAACTCAACTACTAACCTATTCCCTTCCATCTTCCCTCCCATCTCTAGCTATTTATCTTCACCACCTACATCTACCTACCTACCTACCTACATTGCATTCTCTTGTCTTTCATATGTCTGTCTGTCTGTCCGTCGGTTGCCGTCATATCAGTGTACGCTACAAAGTTATCTCAAAAAATAAATCTCCATTAATCTATTCTCTTATATCCGTATCACCGCCCGCTCACCTGCATCCCGCCACTCCACGCCTTCCAAACACCCTATCGCCCTATCACTAGCCATGTACAGAACAAGGTACATCGCGCCCACCACCTCTCCCCACGTACACACTCGAACCTCCACAGCCCGACCTCCTCCATCCCGCTGCTCCTCCGCAACACACCACACCCCCCACCCTGCCCGGCCCGAACCCACGTACTCACCCAAATACCCCCAGAACCGCATGAACCGCTCAGCACTCCACCCCCGACCACCATCGACTACAAGAGGTATGCGTAGAAACCAGTATCCGCGCTCACACACCCGGAGGTCTCGCGCGGTATACCCCGGCGCGTACCGACGGGATAATTTCGGATGGGAAAGGAGCATGCGCAGCGCGGGCGTGAGATGCGTTTTGAACCGCGCTGTGGACGACGGGACAGGGTGAGGCGGATGAATCTCCATTGGGAAATGCAGTTCATCGCTTACCACATCTGTATGCGTGGGCTGGGAAGCTTCCTGCGTAGATACCTGCGACTGCACGCGTTCCTCCTCCTGCTCCGACAGGGTTGTGCTCTCAGATGAAATGGAAATATATACCGGTACAGGCTTAATAGGCGATGCGTTGGGCGTGGTATTCCGCTCTATACCCGTCCATGTCAACGGCGGCGTAGGCGTGGGCGTCGGCGTCGGCGTCGGCGTCGGCGTATCCGTTCGATCAGACTCGGCTTCCGAGTAACGTATGGGCGAACCACCCTCTGAATCAGGCACGGTTGACGGAGGTGTTGGCGTAGGCGCGGGCGTGGGCGTGCCATCCTGCGCTTCCGGCCCAGACAGTGCTTCCTGCGTACATGGCCAGGAACTACTGAACGATCCGAAGGTGGTTTCGCCTTCGTCCTTGCTTGATAGGGAGGGAGGCGCTTCTTCGTCCAGTGGCGTGAGACGCGTTCGTCTGCCGGGCTCGAAGGCTAGACATGCCGAGGCGTGCGAGCGGTATCTCGTGTCGTCTCGTACGCTGCCGGGAGCGGATATGTGGACTAATACCTCGACGGAGCTGGAGTTGGAGCTGGAGCTGGTCGAGAGCTGGGACATTAAGGATCAAGGAGCGAGGGGGAGGAAGGTATGTGTTGGCAATGGGCTGTTCAGGGGACTCGGACCAGGGCCGACGTGCATTTTGTGTATGCCTGTATGTGCTGATGGTTGGTATGGTAGGTATGTAGTTATCTTGCCGGCGAGGTTGGCAAGCTGGTGGTTTGGAAGAATGTAGGAGATTTCACTGATGTGGACGAACTAGTTAGCGCGTGGAGCCTGCGGCCTGCGGCTATTAATTTCCTCTACACGCCATTGGACGATAGCCGCTTGACGATACTCTGTTCCTGCTCCATACATATTTAGAGTACTCCATATTTATCCAATAGCCTATGCAAAGACTATACACGAAATTCCTTTGTGAGGGTCCGACTCGATCACAGTTTTCGGACAAGATGAATGCCCCCTAAGCCACTCGATATTGTTGAACTCTTCATACACCTCCCTGATTCTGTGAGTATTTGGCTCGAGCGTGATAAAAGCGACACCCGCGATAGGCAGCATGCCAGGCCGAGATTCAGCATGCAGCGTAAACCTGAATGCGATGGAGTAGCAGCCGTGGTCCCAGGCCATCACATCAATGATGCCGCCCGCAGCGGACAGGTCGTTTTCATTAAGATGGCAGAAAAGTTCATTTCTGTTATAGAATACAGGGAGTGAGATCTGGATACATGGATTAGCACGCTCTTCTGTTTGCTGCATTCACCTATCACTGCCTAATACAATGGGTAAGGGAGAAGAGGAGGAAACAGGCATACCATGCGACCGCCGTTGACACTGTTCTGGCTCTCAGAAAATAGACGAAAGCTTTCGTCAAACAGTTCATGCTGTTTCTCGTATTTCCGAGATATCTTTACATCAATCCATTTCTGAAGGACCACTTCGGCTTCCGCCCTTGTCAAGCATTGACTTTTTGGAGCCTCGGTTGGAACTGACTCGTGGGAGCGACCGCTAGGAATAGTTAGCTAGAGAACAAATTACACCTAAATTGAACATTGGCTCTTTAAATTTGCCGCTTTTGCAGCCGAATTCCATTCCCGATAGGAACAAATTATACCTGTTGAAAGATACTGAGAACTCCAGCTTTTCAAAGAATGCTAGGCTCAGAAACAGCACCAACAAGGCGAAGACGCTGATAATTGGTTTGCGACCCATATTTTGCATGTCCTGAATTCGGTGTCGAATTTTCAGGCCAACTGCTATATTCCAGTGTGCTGCCTTTATATACACCGATTATCGATAGAGAATCTGACGTAGCCAGAAAGTATATGTGAAGGTAGCGGTCCGCGACTCTCTTCAGGCCCAAAATATGATCGCAACCCAGGACTCCGTTGGATTCTGTTGAAGTTAGGCGTAGTTCTCTCTCCCGGCTCATCAAAACAAGTGGTATAGACAGTTGATGCTCTCCACCACCTCTATGCTCGCCACGCATGAAATGGACTGAAGCTTTAGAGTTTCCATCGTGATGCCCTAACCAAGCGGTACCAGACTTGCCCCTTTTTTTGCCTTCCTTCCTGCGTCATCGACCTCCCAGAGACATCGCCTCCAGTGCTCTAACCCGCGACATAGTCAGCATCAGTGATGCGCGTATCAGAGAATTCATATGGAGCGAGGAAGAGACACGAGACGTCAAGAGCCTCCTTGTGTAACCACATCTTGGACGTAAAAGCACGGCTGTATCCTGCATGCTGCACGTCAAGTCAACGCAGACGCTGGAAGATTGTCCAAAAGTCCTTTCCTGCGCTTTTGCGTTTGAAAACGTTTATTTACCTCTTGCCCTTTCCGCTTTTGGTTGGGCGGTGAACACGCAGGGACGAAAGGGGTTGGCAGAATGACTAAGCGCAGAAATTTTTAACGTTTTTAGTATCCGAATTATGCTTAAATCTCAACGGGCGATTCTCATTGGTCAATCATGTTGATACTCGACTGCAACGTCCGCCTTCGAGGGATTCGGACGCTTTTCGCTGCTTCACCGGACTGGAAAGAAGATACCATAATGGGGACTACGGGTAGGCCGTGGCTCTCTGGAAGCATGGAGAGTGGCTGCAGAGGCTACGACTCTACCCATCAACAAATGGGTAAAGACCTGCAACGGAATGCAACGGCCTGCTGCTACTTAAATACCCCTGGGGCTATTTTGACGAAGTCGCTGCGCCGTGATAGTATATATCTATGGCGAATATGATATCTATGTAGAGTTTTCAGTTTGATGGTGGTTGGAGACTTTCTGGATGCCACCAAATCCGATCCAGCGCGCAACCCGCCTTTACTTTGGATCAAGGGGGTCGATGACGTCCATGACTTTTTTGAGTCAACTCGGGGTATATGTATGAACCCTTCTCTCTTCAAATGAGATGCCCACCCAACACACAATCTCCTGCCGGCACCCTCTACACGATACCCTCTACACCATACCCTCTACACCATACCCTCCACACCATATTCTCGACACCATACCCTTTCTCCATACCCTCTACATCATACCCTCTACACCATACCCCTCTACACTTTACCATTTACTCCATACCACCGACTTACAACCGCTCACTCGCCAAAATATCCGCATCTAATACACTACAACTATTCTAAACTCATACAGACAATTTCAAACTTATACCGTCCTAATCCCCCTTAAACCTCCTCCTAAAACACCGATTCACTCATAATGGGCCGGGTTCTGTTTCTTCCAGCTGAAATTCGCTGCATGATCGCTGAAGAGTGCGACCGAAAGTCCCTGCTCTCCCTTTCATTAGTGTCAACAGACTTTCGTGAGCCAGCTCAGCGAGCACTCTTCCGTTCGATACATGAAACGGTCGAGAGGCAGTCAGATGTTAGAGCCCTAGGAAGGCCTGGAGCAATTAACCAATACAGAACCTCCTGGATTCAACTACTGCTTCGTACGATCCTTGAATGCCCACGGTTCGCCAGATACGTCAGACATGTTCATACTCCAGTTCAAGACGATTGGATCCCCGTTCCACTCTACGACGATAATAAAGAGAACATCATCCAAAGCCGTAAAAGAGTTGTACCCCGTAAATTCATAGACCTAGGTCTCAAGCGCAGGGACGAAAAGCCCTTCCTTCAACATAATAAGACATGGAACAAGATCTGGCGTGCCGCTCTCTTCCAAGGCAACGACGAAGCAATGCTGGCCGTAGCTCTATCTCAGTTTGACCTTCTTACATCGATAGATATATCGCCAGAATTGTTCTACTACTCCCAATTCATAGCCCCCATGTTGGCCTGCCTGTCTTCACCGATTCCCGGGTACAACCATTTCCCTCGGCTTCAACATGTGTCGCTTTGCATAAGAGACACTCGCCATCACTCGGGAGAGTTAGGATCGGCCTCTGGGAAATTTGCAATCATGAAATACCATAATATCAGGACACTAGAGTTGAGTGCTCACGACAGCCATATGAACATCATGCGAAAAGATCTTTTTAATACACACCGGTACCTTACCACTCTCCGTCTCAAGTTCTGCGATTTATCCATCTCCGCGGTCGGAGATATCCTGAACTATACACCAGCCTTAAAGGTCTTCGAGTGTTGCTTGCTCCGTGAATACTCATCCAATACTCATCAAGTCTATAACCACCAGTCGCTGGTGCCCTCCGAGCTTGACTTTGGACAGTTGGCTATAGACCTTCGAAAGGTCGCCGGCACCTTAGAGGAGCTTACCATAGGCGTTTCCTGGAGTAGCATGGGATTCTATGCGTACGAAGAAGACCCCAGCTGGTTCCGCGGCATCCCAGTTTACTCGCTCAGACACTTAGAGCATCTCTCGTACCTAGAGATACCCGTAGAAATATTGATAGGCTTGCGTCCGTGGACTGGTTCCTTGCTTTCCTGGACCCTCCCACCGAACCTGGAGTCCCTGGTTCTGATAGATACGCTTCCATACCCTTACCGTGAGGATTATTTGCAGAATTACAGTGTAATGCCCGTCATGAACCAATTAAAGGTCTATCTTACAAACAAACCTCCCGGGTTCCGAAAAGTGACAGTGAAAGCCTATGTTACGCTGGAGCTCAATCAATTCCACAACTGTGAGCACGAAGTACGGAAATATATGGACATTGATGAGGTCCGATCGCTTGCCGTGTCTCTGACTGATCGTGGTATCACTCTGGAGATCGACTTTCACTGGACGGAATATGATGAAGTGTCCACCTTATGGAGAGCCACCTACAGCCCCAAAATGTCAAAGGAGGTCTCCAACCTCGGCCTTCGCTATATTAGCGTAGATACAGCAACAGATGATGATGATGATGATGAGGAGGAGGAGGAGGAGGAGGAGGAGGAGGAGGAGGAGGAGGAAACAGAGAGTGACACCTCTGAGTCTGGTTCCGCTTAGTTCCTTGCTCGATCATTAGTTATTTTAATCCCCAGTTTCACTTTCCTGCACCCACAACCGCCCCATACCACCGTCCCAAGTTGATCTGCTGAAATTCCCCCCAAATTGACCTGCTTTATCACCCCCAAATGTGCTAATTTTTTGTGTCTTTCGATCTTTTTTTGATATGCGACTTTCAGGAAATACGCCAAGTAAGCGTGGCGGTACTGCTGACTAATGTATTATAACCTTCTTGTCCAATAGCATCACAAAAATACAAAAAAATATCGGCTCACCTTGTTGTGAGTTGTATAAAATACCGCTCCCCCTTGGCCCGCAGTCTGCATTTTTCTCTTAATATCTTGTAGAAGAACGAGAGAACCGACAACCACAGAGTAAAAAGCGAGATAGAGGCCAACTGCTTGCGGCCCCGATCAGAAGCGCAGAACCGTCGAGCGGTGCGAGTTATCGGACCATCTGCGGCCGGGATCGATAGCTGGATCTGCCTCCGCCGTACGGAGCACGCTGCTCCCGCGATCTCCAGCTAGCTAGCGGGCTGGCCAGGGTGTGCAAGCGCTCAGCCACCAACGTCAGCCAGCTGCTGAACGGTCCCCGATATTTAGAGCGACCCCCAGGCCCGTCTACCTGGTCCATATCACACAGCCTTGAGAGGACATAAAGCCACGGCGGCCGGTTAATTCGCCTGTTTCCGAATCGTTATCGGTCTTTGAAGATGGCCTCAGGCGCACCGCAGGCCAGTCCCGACGCTAATAGCGTGCCCACCGGCATCGATCCAGGTACGTCTGCAGCTGTCCGTCTCGTATTACACAATGCTTGCTTTATAAATGTTCTATCTACCTTGGTAATACCTTTCTTTTATTGTCGCATGTATGCACGTTTGGGATTTTATATGGGGTATATATGGCCGTCATTTCGGCTGGATTCGTTGCGTGGGGATGTGTTTCTTTCAATGTCGTCCTCTGTGCCCTCCAAGGGGTTGCAGAACATGGCTTTGATACGGACACTTACAGTCAATGCACCTGTTTCCGCCTATGATGGGTCAGCTCAAGGCGTATTCATAAACGGGAGACTCATCTCTTGCCTACGACCCCTGAGCTTAACCGATCATGTGGCGGAAACAACTCTGCGTCTGCTTGCTTAGGGCCTCCAATTGTTCCCATCAAGAAGCCGTCGTTGGCGAATTTACCATTTATCAGAAACTTCAGTGACCCGCTAAAGAAGTTACCTAACGGTAAGTTGGGGCAGTCTATTCTGTTTCATTCGGATTTTGTTCTGATATCTCAATACAGATGGACAGCAAGGACAGCCGAAGCGTCGTGGTCCTAAGCCAGATAGCAAGCCAGCCCAGACTAGAAGACAGGAATTGAACAGACAAGCACAAAGGACACACCGCGAGCGCAAGGAACAGTATATCCGGGCCCTAGAGGTGGAAATAACCCGCCTGAGAGAGGGTTATGCCACTGATATCGAAGGCGCAAACGTGTCCATCATGCAGCAGAAACAAGCTCTAGAGGAGCTGAGAGACGAGAATCGAATGCTAAAGGAGATCCTTGCATCTCACGGAATCAACTTCGAGGCTGAATTGGAGAAACGCGGCGCTCCCGTCCAGAGTACCCCGCAGGAGAGTAGCTATGGAGGCAGCGTCGCACCTTCACTCTCTCAAACAGCCCCTGATATAGGCAACATGAACTACCTAGGTACTCCAGAGGCCTCCATCTCCGGTCGAAGCCCTGGAACCACTACATCGGAAATGGCGCAGCTGCCGGCCGTTGGGTCCAATAACCCATACTTTGAATCGGCAATTCCTGTGCCCGCTACGGGTAATGCTTTATCATCTAGTGACATTGGTGGCGGATCTGCCTTGGTCAGTAGCACCCCTGGTGTGTTTGATGTTGATCCGCAGCTTGGGATAGATTTTGTCCTTCAGTGAGTGGCTAGATTTTGATCACAGAACAAAGAACTACCTCTCTAACCGCAGTATAATAACTACAGTCTTGAAAAGCCATGCAACTGGCACTTGGAATTCCTTTGCCGCAGGGCACACGACGACGAGAACCAAGAAGCAGTCTCCGGACACTCACTGATGGCAACATGTCCAACATCGTCGGTCATAGCCAACACCAAACGAGGCCAAACCTATGAAACCAAAACCTACGACCTCCCGCCTGCAAACCTGAATACGCTACTCAACCTCAGCAAGCAGTTGGTAACGGACGATGAGATCACTCCGATCATGGCGCTGCAGCTTCTTCGAAACCATGACGCATACCCTTATCTGACCCGCGAGGACGTTGCACATATAATGAGTGATCTAGCGGCAAAAGTCCGCTGCTACGGGTTTGGTGCTGTCCTTGAAAACTTCGAGGTAATGGACTCGCTAAATAGTGTGTTGACAAGCAAGATGGACTATGCGATTGCCAGTTATGACGGCAGCTCGTCGTTAATTTCTCCGCCGATCCAAAGTGCGGACGTGTTGGACATGTACTCATGATGTTTCCTTTTCGTTTTCCTTTTTTTTTCCCTTTCTTTTGGAGAGTTCATCTTGATTTTAATACATTATCAGCCCCTATGCACTTTACATTCTTTCCCTCTACTCTTAGATCTAGCCCTCAGGCTATTGTTACATTTTGTCTTTTGGATACAGGGGAGGGATGTCTGTATGTCGCCTACAACTTCGGCAAATAACTTAATAGGATTGCCTTAGTATTTTTACTCCCATCGCTACAGTCTACCCAGAATCATCCTATCAAGGGCATCAACACTGAATATATCCAGTTGGTCCTCTTCATGTCTTCGACTTCTTCGGCCTTTGCGGTAGTATGTGCTTACATAATCCACCCTGGCGAGCCAAGATTTCAACCCACATGAAAAAAGGACCAAAAAAAAAAATATCGACGCTATCAAGCAACGAGAAAAAGCCACGATCAAAAGACACTTTGAGAATACCAGCTTGCCTTCTTGATAGACTGAGGTAGCCATGGCTCCGCTATCGATTTTGGACCTTGTGTCCGCGCTTCCCTCCGATGATACCTGGGGACCGGCCGTCACCACCGAAAAGACGCTCGATGGAGTCCCATACGCCCCCTTCTCAAAGGGTGATAAGTTAGGCCGCATGGCTGACTGGAGTTCAGAGGGCAAAGATGGCCGTGACGGACGAAGTGGACGACAGGCTTACAACCGTAATTACAGAGGTATGGCTTTTCCTTGGAACAGTAAAGCACGGTTATTTTCATTTGTGAGGGGTACATTTTCGACTAACGGGTCCTGGTACAGATCAACAAGTATACGGTGCTGGGACTGGCAGCTTGTTCGCTGTTCAGGTCGCCGAAGATGAATCAAGCTTCTCCGTTGTCGACAACACTCGAACGTCCGTCAAGTCTCGCGGATTCGGCCGAGGTGGTGGTACCATTTTCCGCGGTCGTGGACGAGGTGGCCCCCAGAGAGGAAGGGGAGGATTCCAGAGAGTTGGAGGTGGTCGTGGTGGCCAGGGAGGAGACAGATATTTCGACAGCCGTGGTGGACGAGGAGGCCGTGGTGGTGGCCGACGTTTCGGTTGGAAAGACTATGACAAGCCACAGCGAAACCGAGACAGCTCTATTGCCATTCGACCAGAGTGGACTGTGCTGGAGGAAATCGATTTCAACCGCCTCGCGAAACTCAACCTCGAGACTCCCGACGGCCAGGACATTGATACCTATGGTTTCCTTCACTACTATGATAGGTCCTACGACAAGGCTCCTGTCAAGGGTGCTGAGAAGAAGCTGCAGTCTTTGGACCGCGCTGCTTACAACGTCACCACATCCGCCGACCCCGTCATTCAAGAATTGTCCGAAAAGACGGATGCTACTGTTTTCGCCACTTCAGATATCCTTTCAATGCTCATGTGTGCTCCTCGCAGTGTTTATTCTTGGGATATTGTCATCGTTAAGCAAGGTGACAAGATCTACTTCGATAAGCGGGATAATGCTTCCATCGATCTAGTCACCGTTAATGAGAATGCCACCGACGCACCACTCGAGGTTTCTGAAGCTCAGTCTGGTACTAAGCACGACCCGATTAACACCCCCGGTGCTCTCGCTCTTGAGGCCACCATCATCAACCACAACTTCACCCTCCAGACAGTGGTAGAGTCAGACACTTCCAAGGTCGACTACCCCAACAGCAACCCCTTCTACAACCCCTCCGAAGAAACGGAACCTCTTGCTTCCAAGGCATACAAATACCGACGCTTCGATCTTTCTGTTGGCGGAGAGGAAGAGCCAGTTAACATGGTTGTTCGAACCGAAGTTGATGCAGTGATCAAGAACGTCAGCGGAGACGACCACCTTGTCACTCTCCGTGCCCTCAACGAGTTTGACCATAGAGCACCTGGTGCCGGTGGTGCTCTTGACTGGCGCAACAAGCTTTCCTCACAGCGTGGTGCCGTCGTTGCTACCGAGATGAAGAACAACAACTGCAAGCTTGCCCGATGGACTACCCAGGCACTCCTTGCCAAGACGGACATTCTCAAGCTCGGTTTCATTGCCAGAGCCAACCCACGCTCCGCTTCTGCTCATATCATACTTGGTGTCATGGGTTACAAACCCCGCGAATTTGCCGGACAGATGAACTTGAACATCAATAATGGATGGGGCATTGTACGGACCATTGTCGACCTTATCCGCAGTCATGATAACGAAGAAGAGGGTGACGAGGAGACCGTCAAGAAATATATTCTTGTCAAGGATCCTAACAAGCCTGTTCTCCGTCTCTACGGTGTTCCATCCAACACTTTTGAAGAGGACGAGGATATGGGACAAGGACGGGACGGAAAGATTGATGAGGAAGACGAGTAAACCGGTCTCTCTCGGATCATTTTGCGTAGGCCGTTAAAATGTTTATGACCTTTCCACTTGCTTGCTTTTTATTATTTAACGATCAAGAGGGTACCCTACTTAATGCCATTTTATTGATTTATTTTCATCATCAAAGACGAAGCTAAGTAGGTATATGTGTGCGGCGGCGTCAGTGCTAGAAGGGAGACAGTCCATCTTCCAATTACTTAGAACTTGCACAATGACCGAATTCATAGAATACAATTAATGTATTTTATTTCTGGGTACGACTAGTTATTTTGTCCCCTCCCTCGAACAACTGGCAGCTTTTCCTTCCGTTCCACATATGTAACATCAAGTGGACGGACGAGCAAACTATCCTGTAACTCCTTCGCTTGGGACCGACTAAAGTGATATATATATAGACAACAAAATTGCGGTAAACGAAAGGAAGAATGTATCGAAAGAGGAAAGGAAACGTGTTTTAAGGATGGGAATACGTTGCAAGGACCAAAGAGTCGAGATGAACAAAAGTAGGGACCGGATCAAGTGGGAAGCAGAAAGTGGTATTTACAATGAAAGAAAAGGAATGGGCAAGCGCATAAAACAAGAAAGTAAACTAAAAGATCGCTCCGAATATCCATTGGCACATAACTCCAGAAGGTGTTGACTGAGAAAGAAGATAGGAAATGTGATAATTGGATGAAATCCCTAGGGCGTGCAGCTACCGTCGCATCCAGCCTAGGACGCGATCTCTGGTATGCAATTTGGCTTGGTCTGATGCCCGTGGTGTTGGCTCTTCACGTGGAGTTTCGGTTCCCCCATCACCAAGATAGCTGGCGCTGATATGCGGTTTCGGGGTGATATCATTGTTGTCATGTACATCACTCTCTTCACCCAAGTTGACGGTTTGATGCTCAGGTGTAGTTGTTGTGGTACCCGGTGATATCAGGGGCGGGGTTATTCGACCTGTCTCAGTTGCCACGAGATGGGTGGAGGGAGTAAGTGAGCCAGGCTGCAAGTTGAAAGCCGGCCGGCCCTGAGAGAGCTGTTGGCTTAGTCCACTAGTGACAGGTTTGCTTAGTGGGGTACTGCTATACGAAGCTTCCTCTTTTTCGGGATCCTCAGGAAGGACACCTAGGGCTTCTTCATTTATATGCAAGCGTTCGATAGTGCTCTCGATAGAGGTCGGGAGAACAACAGTAGAAGCCGTGTCGGAGGAAGCTGTTTGTGTATCGGATTCCACTTCACGCTCTTTCATATAGTCCTCATTCACGCTCACTACACTCCCACGGCTGTTCGTCCTCATCATTTCCGTACCGAGCTTTGAGCCAGATCGTCGAGTTCTCCCTGGGGTAAACTGTGGGCTTTTACGCACTTGCGTATTACCAAGCTCTTCGTCTTCATCATCTCCGGATTCAGCGCCTTCATAGCGTTTCTTTTCTAATGACTCTCGCTTAGCTCGGATGCCTTCCATAGAGCTATGCTTTCGTGGAGTAGACACCCCTGGCATGGAAAAGGCGGCAGGCGCGGATTTTGCGTGCATAAGACTGGGTGGAGTGGTAGACGATGGGTATTCAGCCACAATAGGTCTTGAGATAGCAGCAGAGCCATCATCAGTGATACCTAACCCTCCACTCCGACTCCGGTCCCAGCTCTCATTGGGTCGATGGCCGACAATGACGGGGATATCATCAGATCTCGTCGACTCTATTTCTCCGACTAAGCTGTTACTATCGATCGAGTCTTCTCGGCTAGACCCTCTGTACGACCCTGTGGGTATCGTAACAAATCCAGAAGATCCAGAGCTGGGACTATCTTCAAGTGCACCAGACTTTCGCCGTAGCACAGAATACGACGGCGGATTCAACATCATCGGGGTATCATCCTTTGGTGGAGGCTTCCATTGGCAGAACTTGCAGAGAATTTCCGTCAACTTCTGCAAGGTTGGAGGTTTCTCGATTAGAGAGTCAAAGTGATGCGTTTCCGGAAGATCTTTTAGATAACCCGTCACTGCAATTATAGGAGTGTGTGTATTAACACTCCTCGTCTCCCGGATCATGCGAGCAACATCAGCTCCATTGATTTGAGGTAGCTTAAACTCTGTCATGATGACATCAAACTGCACCTCGCTTAGAGCATATCTCATCGCTTCCGACCCGTTGATTGCAGTAATAGTCCGACACCGTAACTTTTCAAAGAGCGTCTCCATAACCAACCTTGAGACAGGATGGTCCTCGCAAATCAAGATATCGAGTGGTCGGAAGAAAGGACCTTCCACTAGGTTAATTTGAGATAACCGGCGAGAGCTCTGTCTTCGTCTCTGAACTTTTAGCAATGCTTTAGCACGAGGATCTTCATTATCCGAGGATGATGGAGAAATGTCCCAAAGTTGACTCTTACGCTTGCAATGGCCTGGAACGAATGGTTCCTTTGCTGGAGTCAGGTCACTGTCTTGAGAACCGATCGTGTGTGATCTAGATCGACAGGATGGCACACTGCTTTGACGATGCAGGGAGGGGGTGTCAGATGAAATTGACGTCTTTATGCTCTTGATAGGCGACGACGCGGTCGACGTTGAGATCTTCAGATTGGTGGAAAGACGTGGGGGTTCAAAACCACCGCTTGTAGGTGCGGAACCAGCCGAAGGCGGTGAGAACGTTGATGAACCTGATGTTTTCCGCCGTTCATGGTGACTTGAGGTGCTAAATTGGACGAGCAACGGTGACCCGGGTTGGGAGGGCCTGCTAGGGGAAGATGAACTTGGAAGGCTTGAGGCAGATGGGGACGCCGGTCGATTATTGGCCTTATTTTGAGACAGTGTTCTCTTCAACGGCATTGGTAGGAGTGGGCTGCCTTCAAGAGAAGGACCGGAGGGTGTAGCAGGGCTATTATTTGGAACTGCTCGCTGCTGAGCCTGCATAGCATCGTGTCGTAGTTTCTGGATGACATCTTTGTTTGCCTTCTCAAGGATCGGAAGATTCTTGAAGTTAAAGCTTCCAAAGTCATCAGCCAATGCAGGCTCGCTAAGCCGGCGGCTCCGAGTATCTCGCACATGAGGCGGAATGTGCAGAGGCATCAGGCCGCGTTTCAAGGAGTTCACCTGTGTCTTCACCTTGTAAAGGGCGTCATGAGGTCTGTCGGGATAATCACCACTGGAGCTAGGGGACGAAAGTTGGCCCTCGAACTCTTCATTGAAAGCCTGAAGAGTCGCTCCACGCGAATCGAAATATTCAGTATCCTCTGGGTTCTCTGGTGCAGGAACAAACTGGGCTTCATCCTCTAACAGTGTATCCCAATTGATATCAGAAAACCATGGGTGTGCACGGACTTCTGCACCACCGCTAGAATATTTCTCATCGATATTGGCACCTAAGCGCTCGCGAGGGTTTACGGTAATTAATCTTTCCATAATGTCCTTGGCTTCTCGTGAGACTAGTTCATCAGCCTCATCAGGCCAATTAATTCTTCGATGAAGAATGTTCTCAAAGACTTCATCAGGGGTAGAAGCGTTGAATGGTGGGTATCCATAAAGGAACTCGAACAGTATGCAGCCGAGGGACCACCAATCACTCATTTCGTCTTGGCCAGTACCATTTATAGTTTCGGGAGCGAGATAGTCAGGTGTACCCACGAAACATCTGTTGTGGTCTTGTGGATCAAATAATGCCATCGGTGGAGGCACCATTTGTTGTTGAGAAGTTTCAAACTGTGATGGTATTGAAGGAGTAGTGTAACTCGACGAAGGCTGTGCAGGGAATAGATGAGGAGAGTCGCTTCCCTCACTGAGTATCTCCTCGTCTATCGTGGATTTTGATTGTTGGAGGGACGGGTAGGCCGCTGGCGTCAACGGGTTGGAGCCAGTTGTATCACTAACCGCGCAATTTCTCATCATTTGACTAAGAGTGTCACTGCTCCCGCTATCACTGCGATAGCCAGATGCCCTTCTTGAATGCTCACGGCTTAAAGAAGGTTCCTTGCTCAAGCTAAAGTATGACGGCTGTGTCAACACAGGTTCCGGGACGATCAATGGAGTTTGGTGGGGGGAGTCCGTGGCCGGGAAATCAAACGACGCTGATCTTGAGGACGCAATAGAAACATCGGGCCGAGTGAATGGGCCCTGTTTCAACAAGTCTGGGGCTGAATCATTGGGGCTCTTCTGGATACGCTTCTGTCGGCCAACGAGTCCCATTCGCGAAAGGCCAAAGTCAGTGAGTTTCAAGTGACCTCTCTGGTCGATCAGAAGGTTGTCCGGTTTAAGATCACGGTGAACAATACCACGGCTGTGGAGGTGTTCCACGCCCAAGACGACTTCTGCAATGTACTTTTTGGCCCAATCTTCAGAAAGACCGCCGAGAACTTTGACCAATGAAGCGCAATCACCACCGTTCAAGTACTCCATAACAAGATAAAGATAGTCCTTGCTAGAAAATGTCCAATAGAGCTTTGCAACGAAGTCGCTTTCGCCTTGCCACATCATAATTGCTCGCTCTGCTTTGACATTTGTAACCTGGTTCTTGGCTACCATGTCAGCTTTCTTCAACACCTTGATGGCAAAGTATTCTGCCGTAGATTTCTTCTTGGACAGGTAAACACTTCCGAACGCTCCTTTGCTAATTGGCTTGATGATCTCGAAGTCTTTGATAGATGGAGCAACGGCAGGAGGAGGTGGGTGACTGGCGGAGGTCAGGTGTGGTGATATTGGAGCTTTCCCAACATCGGGCGAAGTGGCTGACGACTGGCGCCTATGGTGGTGACGATGTTGAGGAGGGGGATAAAATTGTGCATGGCCATGAGCTGCCAATTCGGTCGATGTCAGATGTGGAGAGGTAGACGGCGATGGTAAGTTCTCGCTTCCGACTGGGAAACGTGGCCTGGATAACCTTAATGGAGAGTGTGGGGGGTTGTTGCGAGCAGGAGATTGCCTACGAGGAGATGAAACGCCGGGCAGTATAAGGCTGCGGCGATTTTTGTCCTTTGCACTCGCAGCTCGGCTCGGTCCGCGTTCGGAAAGAGGAGAC